ATATTAACATGAGCTTACTGTGATGTTTTTACTTTATAAGCATTTTTTAACTTTTAACTCTTTTATAACAATTAGAATACACATTATACAGCTATACAAAAATATTTTTTCTTTATATCCTTATTCAATAAACTTTTCTATTTAAAAATATTTTAAAAACTTGTTTGTTAAAAACTTAATACATTCTCTTTAGTAAAGTATCACAAAAACGGAAAAGCAAGTATCCAGTGTACTCAATACTAAAATCAAGCCAGGAGGGAGGGTGAGGGGGATCAGTGTGCTCCCAGCTAATGGGCACAATGTAAGGATATAATGGCACACCTCCTGGGTGCAGGACCCAACTACAGCAGGCACCTCACCTAACAAATGCAAACATTGTTACCTAATAGTTTATGCCCTCATATTAATCTGAAATAAAAATAAAAACTAACACACATTTCCCTCGCCCTGTAAAGACAGGGCCAGGATTATCCATATCACTGTCTCCCATCGACACGTCTTGTCCTGAGGGTCTTCAGCGGCTGTCCTCTCCTGTGATCACAGTGGCCTCTGGAAGACCCTGGAGGACTTCTGGTCTCTTTTCAGAAATAGAGCCCAGGTAATTTGCTTGGTTTGGGTCTTCTCGTCAGAACTGTACTTGAGAGCATCTAAGTCACCTTGAACACCTCTCAATCAGTGAGAACTTTTCAGTATTAGAGTCTGTGTTGTCACACTTTTTAAGGAACTTGTTGAAGTCTAAAAGCTCTTGCTGACCCTTCCCAGTGGATTTTTGGGGGGTGCTTTGGTTTGTTCTCCTGCAGTCACCTTTTCTCTTGTCTTTTCTCCCACCTGTGACTTTCTGTCCCAGTTCCTCACTGGTCAGTTCCGCAGGAGTGCCTCCTGCCATCAATCGACAGCACAGGTCAGGGTCAAGGTTAGGGTGGTTTGCCATACCAGCTCCAGCCCTGAAGATTTTTGCTGCTTCCTCATATTTGGCAAGTCCCCTTCGAGTGTCTTTTTCCAGATATCCCTCACACACTTTTTGGCAATACCACCCCAAGCCCAAGCAAGTTTCTGGATGCTGTTGTAGATGTCGGGATCTTCTCAGAATTGTGGCAGTGTCTTCCTCAGTTGCAGCAACAGCCTGTGCAAGGGTCCTTGGGTCGTAGGCCTGAAAAGCTCCTGCAGCTCCTTGTCCTGTGGTTGGGTTGAAGGTGCTGTTTGGAAAGAGAAGCACCACTTTGATACTAGGAGGAAGATCAGTGGCCCAAGAGGGGTGTGTGAGAGCATTGTCCACCACGAGCAAAGTCTCGAAAGGTGTGCTAACGTGCAGGGCAGCTAGGGCGTCTGGAAAGAGGGGCTGGATCAGCTGTGTCTTCTGCTCTTGCTGTCTGCTGGCCCTGGGTCCCCACTGTGCCAGACCATGAAGTGTTTCCATTTGTAGCCTACAGCCCTGCCTCCAAGCAAGACTGCCACCCTATCCTTAAAAGCTTTGAAAGCTGGTGTCAACTGGGCCTCCTGGCATCTGTTTCCAGAACAGAGAGGTTTTATCCATGCTGAAGATTTGCTCTAGCAAATAATTTTCCTCCACACTCAGCTTATCTAGAGTTTCCAAAAATTCTTCATCTGCCTTCACATCAGCCCTTGAGGACTCACCCCTCATTTTCAGTGTGTAATGAATGAGGATTCTGGAACCAGCAAGCCACCTGGAGCTACCTGTAAAGCAGCGTTGTAGTTGTGTTCAGCCTTTTCTTTCAACATCCCAAAAGCCTTTTTTGTCTTGGCCATGATTGTCACGGTGCTGATAGGAACACGCTGCTTCTGTGCCTGGTCTGTGTCTGATAGAAGCTGTTCTTAAATCTTGTTAGTCTCATTACCTTCAAAGAAGCAGATCCCTTCACAGCTCCTGTCACTGCTCCTGCTCTTGGAGTTGCCACTGTGGTGGGCCTGTCTGGAGAATGGCAGCTGTCTTTGACTTTCCATTGTCATAGTTTTTAGTCACTTTTCTTGTTCAGGTCAATC